CATTTTTATTTCCGGCTTCCAAAATATCCTAATGTCTCTGCAGTGGCGCCTGTGGAAAAAAAAAGGTTGGGAGGGTGACTCTCCACACCCAGGATTTGGCGGTTGGGTCTCCTAAAAACCCCAGTCGCCCTTTAAAAGGGGGTATGAGGTATTTCTCCCGCCTTCCTAGCGTGCCTTCGTGGCGTAGTGGTCAGCACACTGAGCCGGTATTTCAGAGGTCCGTGGTTCGATTCCCGGCGAAGGCGATTGCTAATTTTTCATCTCGTCTGCTTCTAAAAAAGTAACCTAATGTCTGTATAATGTTATGTGATGCTTCCTAAACAACAAATTTTATTTGATCATATTTCCTTGCAACAGCAGTTAAATTGATGTGCATGGTATTTTATTACTGATTAAAAATAAAATCATGAAAGCCACAGTAGTCAGGAGAAATGAGGATTATGAAATATACTTAAAATTTAAGCGAATTTCATAAGAAATTTCTTCAGGCTATGAGATGATTTTAGAATATATTTATCTTGCAATTCAAAATATTCTAAAATTAACACATCGTTCAACAGTTATTATTAAATGACAGTTTCCATTTAAATGAAATTTAAATGATAGTGAGTAGCACGAAGTATCTCTTTAATACATTATACACATTTATCTAGCGAATACCACCATCAGCGGTGCGATAAATTTAGATATAGTATAATTATTATATATAGTATAATTTAAGTATTTTATTAAGTATAATATATAGTATAATTATTATATATAGATAATATATAGTATAATTTAAGTATTTATATATAGTATAATTATTTGAAATCTTTTCTGTTTGTGAAAGTATTCTGAAATATTCACTAATACCTCTCTATAAAGCAAGCTGTACTTCGATAATACATTTTAAAAGAAACGAAGACGAAGGAGTACATTTTGTGTGAATTAAATAAAATACTTATTCAAAGGAGGTACAGAATTTAAGTTTAACGTACTTTTAATGTTATGAAACTACTAATTTCTATATATGTATAGAGGGAAACTTAAAATTCTTCTAAGGATAATGATACATTTGAATATTTTAACACAGTTTTTGGCTTTGGAATATTTTCTAACAGGTGTTCATAAATTAAATTATGGCCTTGGCCAAGCGAAGTTAAAATTAAAATTAATCGATCCAAAGAAGGCATATTTCGTGGCAACGTTTAAAATAATTTGCTGTAGTGCATTTATCAAAAAATACCTTTACTCTCTTCATCTCATTAAATTAATTATTTATTTTTAAAACTGAGCTTATGAATAATAATCAGAATACAAGGGAAAGGATAATTATTCAGTAATAGCGTGCGATGCATGTTAAATAAAAGTATTTAATCTTTAAAATACTATATTCACTCAAAATCCGAGACTGACTTCTTAACACGTGTCTTACTAGTGTCATTAAATAAGTTATCACTTTTTGTATTTCTTATTAAAAATTTACAATAAAAATACATCAGAAGCAGCAGAATGTATTATTACATCATTGAGCTAAACTTGCACCATGAATGCAGGGTAATTCGAAATTTCTTGCCGATTCTTTAACGAGGGATAAGATATTTCGAAATAAATAACTTTTTTTTAAACAAAAAACGCATGTATAGTAATGTCAAGTGCAGGTTTTTACAGTAGATGCTCAAAAATACCACAACAGTAAGAGGGATATTCAATAAGCTGTAAGACTAGGAAAATGTGTAATTCATCGGAGATGACGAAACTTGGTGAGCTGAGTGCATCACCTTTTGCCGGTATCTCATGAATTAAAATAATAAAACGGATATAACGAATTACTGCACTAGACGAGGATAAGTGAAATGTTAGTCACGTTAATGACTTTTACAAAAGGTGAAACTACTAACACTAAAAGAAATAAGCACCCTGAAATCGCCATTCTGCATACTATGACGTCTCTACTCCTTAATTAAAAACTGGGGCAATGTAACTCTAGAAAATGAACATGTAAGAATTATATCTAATGTTCCTTAGTGTGGGGAGGGTATCGTATCTGCCAATATCTGTATAAGGTATTTCTCCCGGCATCTTAGTATGCCTTCGTGGTGTAATGGCCAGAACACGCGGCGCGTATTCGAGAGGTCCGAGGTTCGAATCCCGGTGAAGACATTGCTCATTTTTCACGTCTCTCAGTATAAAAAATTCCTAACATCTCTACACCTGTAGCTCTACTTTAGATCTGTCTCTTTACATGTAGCTGCATTTTTTTAAAAAATATAAAAAGGAAAACGCACAAATCAAGTACTAGTACGTGAGTTTTGAAAAACTATTAAATGCTTTCAGTTAGTAATATCTGTTAATAATCAAAACGTCAGACATTGTTCAATTATTAAGTTTCCGATAAAAAAGGGCATAATACTGACAAACATTTAAGACGAATAGTCGCAGTCTATGACGACACAGCTTTGCTAGATTATCGTCGAAACGTAAGCGGCTATGGTTACACAAGGAAGAGATTTCCTCATAGAAGATTCCACAATAGTCCACAGCATCGACGTATTTACTGAATATTTACATAAGTTAGAAGAATATGATGTGATGGAAAACAGATGAGTGAATGCTGCCCACATTTCTAATGAAATGTGCATCAGTGTTAGATCAGTGAAAACTCTCTTGCATGAGAAGTTGAGATGTTGAAAGTCTGCGCTAGATAAGTGCCCAGAATGCTGATGCCAAAACTAAAGAATCGACGGGCCGAATGTTCTGAAGAATTGTTCTCCATGATAAACGTACATACATTTTTTTCCTGTGATGGGAGAGGAAACAAAACTTCACCTCTGTGACCCAATATTCAAATAAGAGAGAATGGTGCAGAAACACATTGGATCTCTCCTATCCAATAAGGAACAATTGAATTGCATTCCACATAAAATAACGAAATCACTGTAAATTGTGTTTATTATGTCCCCTGTTGACTCATACCTGAAAAGAAATAAAAGTAAAGCGCCCTGGAAAAACTCAGCAGATAAATGATGCTTTTGCAGGATGAAGCTTATAGCACTCAAGATTCAGCAGAAAAGTGACGCTTTTACTGGGCGACGTTCTAACACTCGATGCAGACATTCCAGATTGTAATAGCAGTTTGGAATGTTCACTTCGAGTTCACTACACTTGAGCTGTCGTACTGTTAGTGATCTACGCGTCATGCACATAGCAATAGAAAGCGATCGCCTGTCGTTGTGGTAATCCTTCGACGTATAGACAAACGCCTTTTACAGGGGTTTTGAGCCCTTTGATAATGATTCCACAGTCTGTTGATGACACTGTGATGCACATTAAGCCCCTTGGCAGCTGCGGATTGTCTTACACTAGCTTACAACATACCAATAGCCTCTAACGAATTTCACCGTGCAAATGGTGTCTTCAGCTCATGCTACCTCGGATTACACGGAACTATCACTGCTTGCGAACAGATGCACAAGTCCGGTTTACATTAGGCGAGGCAATCTTCGCGTCAAAATGTAAATTGTATGATTTAATTTCTCTTTTTACATGCGTACCTTTTCTTTTAGCGTTTGTTGCTTATTTTTTGAGCGCAAGTATACCTTGGGCCTCTGTAGTATGAATTTAATGTCTCGCAGTTGATTGTTTGAGGAAGTACGGCCGAAATCAGAGAAGCTGCTTAAGTTTTGCACAACAGTGTATATATATATATATATATATATATATATATAGTAATTTTCAAGTAATACAACTGTGTGCAAGTTATCTAAATTTCTTTCTTTTAATAACAAATTGCATTCCACATAATGCAATTTATTTTCATTTTATAATTTATAATTTCCCTATGCAATTTAGTTAACGACTGTTTCCTGTAGTTGTGATAAGAAAAAATATTCTTTTGCTTAAGTTGTTCGAGTTTCATTTTATGTTCTATAGCTTAAATGAAATTCTTCGTGCTGAAATCTTATAAGTAAACGGTGGGTGCATCATTACAAAAATGCTACATAAAGATTATGGTAGAAGATGAAAGAATATTTTAATATATTTTGCTAACAGGGATGATCGGATTTCGTGAAAATAATTGACTGCTTCGGTGAAAAGAGGTGACTGATGATTGTCACCAATAAATTTTTTACCATCATTATCATCATTATCTTTGCTAAGGACTGTTAAGTGATAATAAAATCCGTAATATATTTAGAAAATTAAATGATGAAGAAAAAATGTTTTTCTCTAGATTCTGTTCGGAAATTTCACAATTAAAACTGTTTTATAAGATCATTAAGATATTTGCACCATATGGCTGTTAATGTTTACCTAGACAACAACGTTCAGTGATGAATTTAAAATAAATTAAAACCTTAACTATATTGCGCATATTTATGCAAAAATTTTACAATTCAATTTGCTATTGAATGCGAATTTTGAAACCGAAATTTTAAATTGATGTAAGTATAAATTTTACTTTCTGTTCCACTCTGAGTTAAAGCATGTTATCGAATCTCGAAGCAATAAACTAAGGCAAAAAGCAGTAACAAATAAGTAAAGATTTTTGATTGATTAAATATTTTTAATGTAGAATAGATTTGTTTTGCTGCAGTGGGTATGACTGAAAATGCGTCGAGCATTCAAATGGAAGCGTATTTACCGCAATCCCAAAGATAAATGCCCGAGAATTATATTGAATTTCTTGGCCGAAGATGCACTAGGCATATTAAAATTCTTTTTTTTTTTCTTCTTTTGCTGGCTGCATCCCGCTGCCTCAGTGCAGCCTCTTTTAAAGATGACGGGCCATCAATGACGCATACCTTCATAAAACTCCAGCAAACTGCTTTTCTCCTGGGTTTTAATAACTAAAGGAATCCTGCTGGGAGTTATGTGAGGTATTTCATTAAGCTGCGCCGAACTCTGAATCGTATTATGACGAAGTGACGCAGCCTAGAGATCCTCCCCCCCTTAAAGTCATTTCATTTACAAAGTCTAACACCTTCCTCCCTACCCTTATTTCGAGATCTTCCATTTATCGTCCATCTTGAGAAGCTTAGATTTCAACATTGTCTGGTCAGCGAACAAACATGTTGCTGCGGGGGCCCTTAGTTGTCTTATTCTTATTCCACATAGAAGGCCTGCGGTTCGCAGCAGTGGACAACACACTCAGCAGTGTTCCTTATCATGAAGAGAAGGCTGTACCGTATTTTGAAACAACTTTAGACCAAGATGATAAATTGCATCTTTACTGGACAGTAGACTACGAAGAAGAAACCGTTACTTTTGAACTGAGAGTTCGTGCATCTGATCATGATTGGGTTGGGGTTGGTTTCTCTGATAGAGGAAGCATTACAAATTCCGATCTCTGCGTCTTATGGACTGATAAGAAACGAAAGAACCAATTTCAGGTAAGCAGTTTTGAAAATTAAAAAAAAATTACTTAGATTTATGGCCGTTACATGAACGTCATTGCAGAGCTCGTCAATGACGGAATACATTACTTCGAAAATTTAGTTTTGGTTAAATACGTAACAGGATAAACTGCATTATTTAAAATTATTATTAAACAAAATAATTCATTGAATAATTCCGGTCGCATGATATAGTTTGGTTTCTGTACCACAGAATTTATTCGAACATTGATTACGTATTTAAATATGCAATATTCCTTAAGAATGAATTATTTAAAAAATTTACCAGTGTTTATTCAGAGCGTTAGTGATGAAATTATTTAGAGTAAAAGTTGCATTTTTTAAAGGAATATTCTAATTTGAAACAAGTATTTACACACAAACAGTCACAAATTAAATTAACAATAACGGGGCTTCATCTCATGAGAGAATATATTATTTTCTTTTTGTTTATTCTTTTATGAGGACTGATCCTCAGTGAGAGATTTTCTTGATTACGTAATAAATTAGAAACTATTATAAATACCTTTCAAGTGTTTTTGACAATTGGCTAAATTTAACACATGTCTATTTTTCTAAAGGTTTAAGAGAATTTATTCAGGACAGAGGCAAAATAATCTTCATGCTTTTGAATATTTTAATTCTCTATGATTTTAAAAAATGAAATTGCAAACATGATTTAGCTTGTCAAACTTAAGAAAAATACCACAAATTGACAGTTTGTCAGAGTTATCCTTTCACCTTTGATAAAGTGTGTTTGAATGCCTTTGTGTTTTGAATTCTACAAGGTTTAAAAGCTATACAAATATATTTTTGATGAAATTATTCAGTCAAATATTACTTTTTCCGATTTTTAACTGAAAAGAAACTTATATGTTTCAGCTTTTATAAACATTTTATACTTATAATACTTATCACAAACACAAACATTTTATACTTATCCTAGAACAATTAGAATTAAAGCTGTGGTATTACAATAGTTGATACGATCATGATAGTTGACAAATCAACATCACGATAGATGATTTGTTGACCTGCTGTGGCAATATGTCAAGAGAATCCTTTCAAAAATCCTGTTTATTTCTTTAATTTTTGGACTTACTGTGGGATAAATAAGCTAAAATACTTATTTAAATAGTTTAATAGGCAATTTTTTAAAATTATGTACTGAAAGTATGTGACATATATTTTGTACCTTATTTAATAAGCTAAATAGATATAAAGATTTGAGTTTTGACTTTTCTTGTATATGCATTGAAAACATTAAAAAATGTTCTCTTTGGTTCGCTTCGTACTCTTAATTTGCATAATTATTATATATATTGCGATACATATATTCAGATGCTATTAATTTCATTTAAGAATGGATACGAAGATAGTGTGGATTCTATGCATGGTTACAATGCATGAATGGAGTTGCCGATTCTGCTTAAATGTCTTGCTTAAAAAAAGGCATTCTGACGTAATAAAACTGTTTTAACATATGTAAAACCTACATGTATGACATGTTGTTCACAGAAGTTACTGAACAATGCTTCTTTGCGGCAAAACACAGAATGGCAATGAGTTTCATTGCTTTATTTTGGCAAAAATTCCAAAACGATGTATACGCCTGTTTGAAAGTATGAAAATGTGTTTAGTGGCATAAGTGTTATAAATGATACTGCAAAAAAATTTGGTGAATTTTGTTGTGAGTCTTTGAAACTGTTCCTGAAACTTGAATTTCAGAGATTAAGAACATTTGCGGTAGAAAAAAGTTTAACTTAAATCTCAATCAAAAAGAAGTTTGTGGGCATTTCATTCCAAAATACATAACTCAAAAGGAACATTAACGGTTAGGAGGGAAAACAGTTTTTTAATCCTGAAATAAAAGAAAATGTGGTGGAACATTTAGGAATAGCTTAAAAACTCTTAGGAAAGGTGGATCACTAAAATCTAATTTGTGCGTTTTCTTGGAATTGTAGGCTTCTGTTAAACTACTTAACGCAAACCATGAAACCTTTAGAAGTTCAGTACTCATAAAAGATTAAATTTAGTATTGACTACTATTATGAGAAAAACTAGAATAACTGAAAATCTGGTGATATAGTAAGCGCTGAGATTTCATTATTTTTTTGTGATTTTCAGCATTTTACAGAGTTTTTAACTTCACGAAATTTAAAGATGCTGCTTTGATAAATGTTCAAGTCTTGAAACATATTTTTCGTAATCGCAGTTGTCTAGAGATATTAATTTCTAAAATTTTGCATTTTGGATTATAACGAATTTTCTTCATTGTCATCTCATGTCTTAGCAGTGTAATAGGAAACACTGAAGCACTTGAGACTGGCAGTCGGGATTTCTGGGGTTCGAATCTTGATGAGGAAACAGGTTACTTTCTTAAGATCCAAAAATTTCTAAACACTTTACAGTGATGCCCAACTACAATGTGGTGGATGTTAATTCAGCCTCGCCTGGATTTAGCGACTGGCTCCATCTTTCCCAGGTGCCCCTTAAGTTGAATGGCTGTAAAGACTTTTCTTCTTTCTCACAGTGTGCTTTAGTGATGTAATTGAAATATTTTCAGAAGTAGGTATTTTCGGAGGGTTTGTAATCGGAAGGTCCAGATTCGAACTTCGGTGGCTGAGTATCTGATTTTCCTATTTTCTGTTTTGAAAAGCCTAATAGGTTTTACAGAGTAATTGTTGTTTTTTCATAATTTTTAGTTTGTATTTAAAAGGTTGTAGACTAAATTAGTATTTTTAAAATTTAATTAATGTTTTAGTTACCAATAAACTTAAAATGAACAAAAGTTAAAAAAATACTATAATTTTTAAAGGGGTCCCTAAATGTGGGCGATAACTTATAAGTACCGGAACTTTGTTTTCAACAAGCAGTTTTTGTACAGACTAAAAAAAAATTTCTTTCATTAGTTTAGTAATTTCTTTAATTATCAATTATTAATTTAAAAAATATAATAGAAATTTGCAGAAACTTCTCGTGCAATTATTTAAAGCATTAATTAAAAACCTTTCTTATGTTCACGTAATTTCTGTTGCTTTCTTCTTACGGAATGCTATAACTCGATAGCCCACCAGCTGCCGAGCGGTAAAATCGCTGAACACTGGGGTAGTTCGGTCCGAGGTTCGAATCCCGCGAATGGGCTGGCTGCATGGGTGTTTTCGTGGTTTTCCCCATGTGTAACGTGTATACGAGCCAGTTTCCCTTAGAAAGTCCTCCACGAAGGCATCCCTTCCCTTAGGCAGATAGCCCTCGAGGCTTTGCCGTAATTAAATAACCTAACCTAACCTATAACTTAATAGATTTAATTAGACTTTTAACAAAATAGAAATGCTGATTTATTTTTCAAACAAAACAGTAGAATAAGACCATTTATTCTTGGCAAGATGAAGAGAAAAATATTGAAAAAATTAAAGTGCGGCTTATTTTTATTACGTAGCATATCCACCGGTTTAGAGTTTCATATTGATGATAATAATAATTAAATTAATTTTTTTACGTTTAATATTAAATGTTACCTACATGTGTACGTATATAAGTAATATTTAATATTAAAATAAATATATATGTATGCTCAAATTCCTTTATGATATGTCATGTTAACTTATTTATATTTTTTGCTTGTAAAAGCACTGTGTAAGCTGTAGTAATCTTAAGGGCATGAAAGACAATTGAGCAAGTTCTAAAATTCGCTTAACGTATAGAAACTAAATTGCACTTCGAGATAGTTGTACTACAAATAAGTACTCTACCTTAATTTAAAAGCAAATTATTATTTAAGATTGTTTTAAAACAACTTATATTTAAAACACATAATCGCAATTTATTTAAATAAAGTTTCGGTTTACAAAACTGTATAAACTTACTTGGGTAGAAAACTCTCAATGACAACAATATGCTGTCAGTTTAATTTAATTTGTAAATTTTCTTTCATTTTAGAATATTAGTCTAATTTTGTTTTCACAGTCTTAAGTCAAATTAAATATTAATTTATCAAAACAGAATTAATCGGAGATGAAGCATAGTTAGTTTAAAGACAATAGTTAATTTCAAATAATACTTTGTTATAACAGCATGTTTATTAAATATCATTCTATTAATTCCTTCAACTATTCTTTATGAAACATTTTACTAACGACTTCTTCAGAGTTATTTATTTATACGGATTTAACTTTTACATTCCTGTGGTTCTATGGAGATGGATGACGCTTCGGAGTTGAGAGAAAAATAACACAAACTGATCTAAGAACTCATATCTGGTTGAAGAACTTAAAATACTAATGTTTCGATAAAATTATACTATTTAATTGCAGTATTTCTACTATTACTTTTCTTAAAATTGAATAACATACTTTTATTTCTCAAGTAAAGTAAAAAACATATACCATTAAAAGATAAATAATTATGTTAGATACCTATGAAATATCTCTGAATCTCATTGTACTAGGGAGCCAGCAGGTAAAAGCAAATTAACTAAAGCTGTAATTAATGTGAGCGAAATTCCACACAAGTTATAAGACTTAATCAATACTTATAAAACAATGCCTTGATCTAAAACAGTGGCTTTTGAATTCGATCATATAAATACTGGTTGTTTAGAGATCAGTGTAAAATACTGAGATACTTAACATTAAACATCAGCGCGCAGTGATAAATCTTTTTGCAAAATTAATAGTTTTTATATTCTCCAATTTGATTTAAACCTTGAGATGTGATAAGAAACGTGTTGCTTTTTTTACATATAATAATATCTTATTTGAAAATATCTTCAGCTTTCACTTTTTTTCCCCTGGACATTCTAGGAAAATGAATTATTTGACATAATTTTTTTTTGCTGAGAGTTTTTTCTTTTAAATTTTGAAAACAGTGATGAAGTTAATGATCAAAGTCTTAAGTCTTAGTATATATATCTTAGATGTTATGTTGCAGAAAGTAAGTATCGAAAAGTTTCATTGTTGTAAGAATCAAATGCTTTGTATGAAGATTTTTAATTATTT